CCTTGTGGTGCACCCTGAATACGCTAAAGAGCTAGAGCAGGGGTTTCAAACATGCAGCCCGGGGGCGGATCAGGCCCCCGGAGGGCTTCTATCAGGCCTGCAGTGGAACTGGCTGTCTTCTGCTTCTTCTTCCAGTTCTGCTGCTGCTGCGTCATCGTAGGTTTGCAGCTTACAGATACACACCTGAACAGGATACTCAAGATTGCAACTGCACAGACATTTTGATGCAATAATTCAGAGCAAGAGGTGTCGGTCATCAGACACTGTTAAATAAACAAAATATTGCAAGAGTGCTAATGTTTTAAGGATGTTTTTAAAAAAGCCCTTTGTGTTTGTGTCCTTTAGAAAGTTTATATCTCTGCTACCTGGCATTACATTTTATGACACACGTGGCCCGGCCCAACAAGGTCGACACTCCTGAGCTAGAACTTCTGACAGCCAGACAATTGCGGGATCTCCTAGCTACACGACACACATGGAAACAATAGGCAGAGCTGCCTGAATATGACAGTGCTGTTAAAAGGAGCAGTTGCGATTTATGAGGCACGAGGAAAAAGTTTGGGGACAAGCTGACGCGGTACGAAAGAAAGACAAGCTGAACCAAAATGGAACCAGACTGCTGGTGCCTTAATATTCCAAAAAAAGTTGCACAACAGCTTTTAAACTAATTCCTGGGGAAGCAAGAGAACATTAGGAGAACGTCTGGTTCAGGATGACTCATTCCAAAGGGACGGCAGGTCCACAGTTCCAGATAACCTAGATGGAGACAGGACCAGAGCTTTAAAGTCTCTGGAAATGAACACTGTTTAAGGGCTGGAAGGGGAAATGTCCATGGGCAAGAGCACTGGAAAAGGAAACCGAAGTACAAACATTTATATGCAAATGCTACAAACCTCTGAGCTAAGATTGGGGAACTAGAGTGCTTAGTGTCAAACAAGAAATGTAGTGGAATTTCAGAAACCCTGTGGGGGGGAAAGTCAATGGAAAAACCAGCTATTTCTGGGTGTTAAGTTACACACAATGGAGAGAGGAAGAGGAAGAGGAAGAGGAAGAGGAAGAGGAAGAGGAAGAGGAAGAGGAAGAGGAAGAGGAAGAGGAAGAGGAAGAGGAAGAGGAAGAGGAAGAGGAAGAGGAAGAGGAAGAGGAAGAGGAAGAGGAAGAGGAAGAGGAAGAGGAAGAGGAAGAGGAAGAGGAAGAGGAAGAGGAAGAGGAAGAGGAAGAGGAAGAGGAAGAGGAAAGCGGCTTACAACCTCCTTTCCCTTCCCCTCCCCACAACAGACACCCTGTGAGGTGGGTGGGGCTGAGAGAACTCTGACACAAACTGCTCTTTCAGGAACACCTGTGCCAGAGCTTGTGACTCACCCAAGGTCACATCAGCAGGTGTAAGTGGAGGAGTGGGGAATCAAACCCAGTTCTCCCAGATTAGAGTCTGCACACTTAACCACTACACCAAACTGGCTCTCCAGTTTGCACAAAGACAAAAACAAGTCCAATAATCTAGAAAATGTCTGATACAGAGACTCCTCCACAGAATCTCTAGGGGGGGCACTACCAAATTAAAAAAAAACAACTTAATGTTAGGGCCATACTATCACCCATCTGACCAAACCTGTAAGGGCAGGGGTGTCAAACCTATGGCCCGTGGGCTGGAACTGGCCCACCCAGAGCTTTGATCAGGCCCATGGCTCTTTTTTTCCACCCCTCCCCCTCCCCTGCCTGTCCTCACCCTTCCGAGGGAGATTGGGGTTACCAAACTTCCCAGCTGGCTTGGCCTTGTCTTCGATTGTTTCTCCTCCTGCAGGAAGCTCCTCTGAGATAAAGTACAAAAAAAGTTGCAAAGAAAATGCGGAATGGATTTTCCTTTAAGGTCTCTGGGCCCAGACAGACTACTCTGGGACTGGAATGACAACCCCCAGAGTGGAATGATGGTCCCTGGGAGTAGCAGCTGTGTTTTGGGAATAGAATTCCACTCTGGGGGCTGCGGGAAGCCCGGGTAAGCCCCCCCTTGAAGGGAAGGGAAGGCACTTTAAACTGCCTTCCTTTGTTTTGCCTGGGCGCCCCGCAGCCGCAGGGCGCCCAGGCAAGCCAGCTGTTGGACAGGCCGGGGAAGGCACGGGGAGGCATTTAAATGCCTCCCCAATCCTTCCATGGCCCCCCTGGCCCGCCCACCTGAGAGTCGCCAGAGGGGTCGCTCTCTAGGCCTTCCCTCTGTAGCCACGCACGCGCAGAGGTTTTGGATGTAGGCATGGGCATGGCCAACTCGGAGGCCAGCCGGAACTCCATCCCTGTGCGTTCCTGCCCCAAAGTAGTCCTGGCAGTAACCACGGAAACCTGCCTACACCTTTTCTGGCTTAGAAAGTAGGCAGGGCCAGGTGGCGCTTTTGCCCAGCAAGGCTTCTGATAGGCTGTGAAGATTTTTTAAAACATAGCCAGGGCTCTTTTTGTAGAAAAAGCCCAGTAGGAACTCATTAGCATAATAGGCCACACCCAACAGCAGGAACTCATTAGCATATTGGGCCACACTCCTGACAGCACAGCACATTAGCACATTAGGCCGCACCCCCATGTTACCAGAAGTGCGGTTATCTAGCCACACCCACCTTTTGCTTGTTATTCCGTTTACCTTGTTTGTTGTCAAAACCCAGGGCAGGAACGCCTTTGCATGTTAGGCCACACACCCCTAATGTAGCCAGTCCTAATGAGTTTCTGCTGTTGGGCGTGGCCTATTATGCTAATTAGTTCCTGCTGGGCGTGGCCACCTCGGGAGCCAGGCGGAACTCCGTTCCTGTGCGTTCCTGCCCAAAAACAGCCCTGGGTTTGGCAACAGCTACCACCACAGCACAAGCATCTTCACTGTGTTACTGAAGGTAAGCTGCAACAGTCTATCATGGCTGGCTCTGCCTCCTGTGGCCACCATTTTGTGGCCACCTTTGTGTGGCTGCACCCTCCATGCTGTGAAGACCTGCCAAGGTGCCCGCAGGCTCCAAAAGGCTGGGGACCCCTGTTTTAAGCTATTTGACCTGGAGGAACAGATGTACATTTTCTATTGTCATTTTAACAAGGCAGAACCTTCGTCTCCTGCCATTTAAATGCTTAAAATAGACTGCATCGATAATTTTTTTGTTGACACTCTTTGCTAGAGCCCTGTTCTGTTTATAATATTTTGGTGAGTCACAAGCCTTAAACCTTGGAGCCGTCAAATATAAAAGCAAATTTCAGTATGTGTAATAAGACTGTAAGAAAACAAAAAATGCAAACATGGAAGAAAGCCAGACTAGCTAACCGATTAATCACTCGGCGTGAGCCAGCCAAGACTAAGTGTTCTTCAGTCCCATGGATCTCAATGTGAGATACTAATGCATATGTTTAACTTTCCTATTGAACTAAAGCGGACGTAATGTGCTTAAGATTGGCTGGGTTTTAAGAACATAAGAACATAAGAGAAGCCAGTGTTGCATCAGGCCAGTGGCTCATCCAGTCCCATACTCTGGGTCACACAGTGGCCAGAAATACCAGGTGCCATCAGAGGTCCACCAGTGGGGCCGGGACACTAGAAGCCCTCCCACTGTTGCCCCCCCCCACCGAAGCACCAAGAATACAGTGCATCCCTTGCCCCAGACTGAGAGTTCCTATCTATACCTAACATAAGAACATAAGAACATAAGAGAAGCCAATGTTGGATCAGGCCAGTGGCCCATCCAGTCCAACACTCTGTGTCACACAGTGGCCAAAAATACTAGGTGCCCTCAGGAGGTCTAGCAGTGGGGCCAGGACATTGGAAGCCCTCCCCCTGGCACCAAGAATACAGAGCATCACTTGCCCCAGACTGAGAGCTCCTATCGATACCTTGTGGCTAATAGCCACTGATGGACCTCTGCTCCATATCTATATATCTAATAGCCAAGTTGCCCCCGGAGTGCGGATCGCTAAATCAGCGCTCCGGGGGCACTTGGGGGGGGGGGAG